ATCTGCATTGGAAAAAGAATCTGCATTGGAAAAAAAATTACCTGAGCAGCTTGAAGCGGGTGTAAAAAGCGAGATCCGTTTTTCTGTCTGCAAAGAAATGGAGGACGCGATGGGAGAATTCGGGATCGAACCTTTGGTGAAAGATGCTTCATCTTCGACAACCCTGGACGCTATGGAAGACTCTGAGACTGCTTCAACTTTGACAACCCTGGACACTATGGAAGACTCCGAGACCACGCCTTCCCCGGACATTAGACCGGCCGAAGAAATGGAGGACGCGATGGAGGTGAATAAAAGATGTGCGTTGCCGAGCGGAACATCTTTATTATCTGAGACGCCAATTTCCGTATTCCAAGCTTCGAACAACCCCCTCGAAGCTCCCAAGAAATCAGCGTTGTATCTATGCCGGGTTCAGCATCCACCCTTAGAAACACTGCATGAAGAATGGGCTTTAGAGGATTCTGGCATGGTTGGGGCGTGGGGATACATCTTCAAATACGAATCCGGTGAGCTCTACCTTTACCAACTGGATCAAGAAGAGAAGCTCACACCCTTTTCCAACACATGGAACCTTACCTATAATGACTAGGCAGTGCTGAGGTTGGTGGTCCCGTACAATACAGAAATAAGTGGGGAATTGGCTACACCAGATCAGTCAGAGTTGATCGGTTTTCCATCCGATGTTGAAATCGTCAACGGAGAGATGCTTTTTAGCGCAGTTTGGAAAAAAAATCTACCACAAACGGGTCCTGGTCTCTTCGAGCGAGCAGGCGATGGAGCTACGAGGCTTTTTCCCCCGACCTGTTTGTTTTAGAAGTTTTCAACATAGAAAGTGGGATCTTTAGGACCATGCTGGCGATACCTTTTAGTGTATGCATTAAAAAAATGATCGAAATTGGGGATCGGATTTCCAACCTGTTCCGGAGTTCGCGCTGCTGGCTTGACATTCTGACTGTGAAAAAAAATAAAATAAACCTCTTTTAGACACGCCCTCCACCCTCCACCCTATATATTTAGCGGGAGGAAGCATACCGGCACACATCTCTTCAAGAAGAGACAAACCTACAGCTGATAGAATGGGGTCGTACTGGGATTTATACTCTCCTATTTCCCCCACACTGACTCCATTTCTCCCGCCTTCACCACCCTACCGTCCATCGCCGGTGCTTTTTCCAGACGAAGCTAATCATCCACCATCACCAGCGCCTTTTCCAAGCGAGACTAATGAAGTAAATATCCTGAAGGAGGAAAAGAAATTGCTTCCCACTCTTTCTGAGTCTGATGAAGACAGGGCGGCGGGAGCCTCACCTGACTCGTCGCAGACCCAGCCGATTATAAACGGGGAGGTGGATGAGGATTGGATCTTTTCCTCACACATTGCTATAGTGAAAACAGCCATGCTTCATTTGCTTAATCACGTCGCTTTGGAATATAATCGAGAGACTTGTTACGGGTGTCAAATAGACCACCCGAGCCAACTACAGCATCATTGTCTCGAAGCATTGAAAGAAGAATTCTATCAAACTAACTTTATCATGCTTCAACGTCGACTCAAAACACCGTAACTCATTCCAGCCATTCAACATCTGATGAAAGAACGCGGACAAGAAGCGGAGGATTTCAGGCCGAAGATAATTGTGGAGACTCTTTTGTAAGAACTCAGATCTTCGTTCGGACTGTGTGCTGCTGTTGAAGAAGTGTATCGGAACAACAGAGAAATTTACAAAATCAAACAACTCTGTACTATTTCAAACATATTTGGTCACACTGAATGAATGATGTGCTATTTAGTTGCTTGTTTATCTTCTGTATCACTTGGAAGAGATTGAAAAAAAAAAGAAAAAAGATTTTTAAAAAAATAAACGTTTTTTTTTTTCATTCCTATTTTGTTTTTTACATTTCAAGTTTTTTACATTTCTAG